ATATCAATGCGTCGTCTCCTCCTGAGATGGAAGTGACATTTACCTTTGCCTTCGTCTCCTTCTCCTTTTGTGCACTCTTGCACTGTTCTTGTAATACTCGGTCTTTCCATAATTCCAACACTCGATAGCCTTCGAGCTGTTGCTTGGATTCTTTGACTTGGACCTCCTATCCTTTGATCTACCTCTGTAGTTTGATTTGCCTCGTCCGTTCCTTCTGGTTGAATTTCTACCTCTTGACTCTGTATGCAATACTGAAGAGGTTGTAGTTTCCCCCGACTCTCTCCGTCGGATCTCCTCACTGAGAGACAGATCATGAACATCGTCAAAGTTTAACTTCTTGCATCCCGATGAACTACTCATAGCCGTGACTGTAGCGTTCCAGCTTTTTGGTAGGGAAGACAAAAGGATCAACGCTCGAACTTCCTCATCAAACTCAATTTCAACTGAACTCAATTGGGTTGTGATTGTGTTGAGTTCATTAAGGTGTTGTGCTACTAACGCGCCTTCCGTCATTCTCAGATTGAATAACCACCTCATCAAATAAACTTTGTTCGTGGCTGATGGATTCTCATATATATTTGAGAGTGCTGTCATAAGACCCACCGTGGTCTTTTCCTTCGCAATATTGAACGCAACATTACGAGTCAATCTGATAACTCCGAGGGCTTGTCTGTCTAGAAGGTTCCACTCATCTTTCTTCATTGAATCCGGCTTCTTCCCCGAGAGGGGTTGATAGAAATTTTTCTGATACAGATTATCCTCTATCTGTATTTTCAAGAATCCGAAATTTGTTTCATCAAACTTCTCTAATCTCATTTTTTCATCTGCGGCCATCACTCCCACTTGAATCAGACTTCCTCTAAATCGTTTCAAGCTCTGATACCAGTTGTTGGGGAAAACCCGGGGCTACGCTAAACCCCTATAACAGCAAAAACATAGTATAGAGAAAAATACACCAAGATTTACGTGGTTCGACAAACTTACCTACGTCCTTGGGAGCCACACAATTAATTTCTTTTTAATCAACAAGAAATTATAATACAAGAGCAGATATCAAACTTAAGATCTCTTAATAAATACAAATCAACACTGTAATTACATTGTTGATTCCCCTCTTTAATAAAGTCCCCTCAATAATCTTTGAGAGCTGAAAAAGAACACCTCTTTCTTTAATTTCCCCCTTCTTAACTTACCCCTTTAACTTCCCCCCTCAAGCTTTCCGTTGAGCACTGGAGAAAAAAGGCAAGAGAGAGAGAAACAGGATCGCCGTCACTGGAACTGGAAATCGCGAGGAGAGAAAGAAGAAGCTGCTCAGAGGATAGGAGCTATGTGTTCCCTTTTATACGGGAACCCTAATCGACAGTCTGGCGACAGACTGTCACCAACCATGCCGCTCGAGCTCGCTTGCGGAGTCCCACTCGAGCTCGCCTGCTCCGACCCTGCTTGTGATGACCCCGAGCTTTCTTGAATCAATTCTCGAGCTCGCCTGCAATAAGTCGACTTCTCCTCGACCTTGCCTGCGCTGCGCCGCCTCATCATCGAGCTCGCCGTTAACCTCGCCGGATCTGCGGCGACGTCGCCTGATCTCGCCTCGACTTCGAGCTCGTCGCCTGAAGGTTTGGTCTTCACACCCAAATCCAACACATCTGATCCAAAAGCCATCAGAAGTTCCTTTGCATTGTATGTGATAGTTCTTCCATTTTGTCCTACAGCCACTAGTGTGGTAATTTATGACACCTTCAACTTATGCCACAAGGACTTGGCTCTTTGATCCCTAAATGGAAGGGTCAACCATGGCATGTTTGAACATGATTCGTCGAATGTAGTATGGTCTTTGTCGCTAGATATAAATATTATGTCGAAAGTAGTGGCCTTTGCTTTGATTTCGTAGTACAGCTCAATCAGCTTCAATTTGAACTTTGACATGGAGGACAAAGATCAGGGCCGGTTCTGAGATTTTAGGGGCCCGGTGCGAAAAGTAAACACATGACACTTCTCTATATACAAAATATCAATAAATTCTAATTTGAATCCCTAAAATGCTAGGGAACAAAATGTTACTGATCAGACATTAAAATGTTACCTGATTTTTTTGCATCCGGATAGTCTTTAACATACTTTTCAAGTGTTATTGTCCATTCTTCATCTCTTCGGTCACCTGAATAAAATATTATTGATCAGATAAATGCATGTAATCACACCTTAATAAAGCTTTCCAATAGAGCAAGTAGTCCACAATAAGAAATACTTGCATATTATATTTCTCTTGTATCTGTGCTTACCTTCATCAAATATCGAAGCTTTTAGCATCAAAAAGTATCATCGAAAACATGTCCTCCTTGCATTTTTAGCTGCAAAATCACTAATTAAGCCTTTAACATCAATTTTATCTATAAAATCATTTTTAATGGATATCAAAGCTAGTCCATTTAGTCTTTCTTGTGATATGGTTAATCTCAGATAAGATTTTAATAATTTTAATTTTGAAAATCTTCTTTCTGCAGATGCGACTGTAACAGGTATAGTCAATAATATTCTATAAGCAATACATGCATTTGGAAAACAATTTCGTATTTTTAAAAAATTCAGTATATCAATAGCCATCTTTGTTTCTTTTGGTAAAATATTTCGTAAGATTTTTAGTTCTCCAAATAAATCTTTCCCATCAAGATCAGAAAATGTTTTATATTTTAGGACAATTTCAAGTTTATCACAACATGCTTTCAAATTATTATCATCTAATGAATTTAACTTTTCCGAACCAAATAAAAATCCAAAAATATCTTCATATGCTTTATATTGCTCAAACCTTTTCTTTAGAGAACCAATAGCTTGATCTACAATATACAAAAAATAATTGATTCTAAAAGATTCTTCAGCTGATTGTGTTGTCTCCTCGTTAACATTCTCATCAAATTGTCTTTTTCTACGGATTTGACGTTTTACTTGAAATACAGAATCAATTTTTATTTCAGTAGCAATTTCTTTAGCAATTGTCATAGCTTGTGTGAGCCCAACTTCTCTATAATTCTCAAAAAACCTAATCAATCCTTTTACTTGATCTATAGCAATATCAATAAGCATGTCTTTAGATTGTAAAGATTTTTTAATTAAGTTAACAGCAAACAATATATCATACCAAATAATCATACTTAATAAAAATTCAAAATTTCCAATTCCATGTGTTGCTAAAGAATCTGCTTCACTTCTTATTTTGGAGTCATTATCAGTTTCTGCTAACTGAAGTAGTGCTTCTCTTATTTCAAGCGTTTGGAATCTAATTGCTTTAACGCTTTCAATATGACTTTCCCAACGTATAGCCGACAATGACTTCACAGTTAAACCTTTTACATTATTTATCAAAATTTGCCATCGCTTTGTTGAGTGAGAAAATAATGTATAAATGCGTTGTATCACTCCCAAAAAGTCTTTTGCTTTACCACAACAATTTGCCATATCACAAAGTGTTAAATTAAGACTATAACAACCACAAGGCGTGTATAAGGCTCTAGGATTTATATCAAGTAATTTTTTTTGTACACCTTGGTGTCTCCCTTTCATATTAGACCCATTATCATACCCTTGACCCCGTACATTATCAATATCAAGATTAATAGTTTTTAGCACATTTTGCAATTCTTCAAAAAGTCCTTGTCCAGATGTATCATTTACTTTTAAAAATTCAATAAAAAATTCTTCTATTTTTATCGGGCTTGTAGAAACATCGACACATCGTAATATTAAAGTCATTTGTTCTTGGTGACTTGCATCCGGAGTACAATCAAGTATTACTGAAAAATATTTAGCTTCTTTAATTTTTTAAACTATTGCACATTTGATTTTAGAAGCTAACATACTTATCAATTCATTTTGAATGCTATGACCAAGATAATGATAATGAATTTCACCATGGTCAATACGTTGAACATGTTCTTGCATTATTTCATCCCATTCTGCAATCATTTCAATTAGGCCTAAAAAATTTCCATTATTATTTTGATAAATTCTCTCATTTGTTCCTCGAAATGCCAAGTTATGTTTAGCAAGATATTTAACAACAGAAATTATTCTTTGTAATACTTTCTTCCAATGTTCCTTCTCTTTATTAATTTGCTCTTGAATATTTTTATCGATTGTTTTATTTTTCTTTAATCTTATGTGTAAATCAAGCCAAGTACTCATGTTAATGATGTGCTCATTAGTTGTTTCATGTTCTTTAAGCCTAGCACTAGGATGTATCCAATCATTAAATCCTTCATTTATTAAAGAACTTTTCTTAAAACCAATTTTAAACAATTTACAACAAAAACAGAATACTTTATCGATATCCTTTGAATAAACTAACCATTTTCTATCGCATTTCTCTCCATTTGATAAATGCCTAGTGTAAAATGCCGAAGAAAAAAATCTTCCTAATTTATTTTTAGGACCTTTTTCGACTAATAGATCTCTTATAGGGCCATTTTCCACTAATATATCTCTAGATTTTGTGTCCAAATTATCCCAAGTTCTTGGATCATAAATATTCAAATTCATGAGCATGGACTGATTAGGTTGTTCTTTGATTAAAATATTTTCATTATCATTTTCATTTTCATTGTTAATATCAATTTCATTCCGATTTTGATTCTCATTTTTACTTTCATTTTCATTTTCATTCTGATTCTCAGTTTCATTATCATTTTTATTTTCATTATGATTCTCATTTTTATTCTGATTCTCATTTTTATTATCATTTTCATTTTCATTATGATTCTCACTTTTATTCTGATTCTCATTTTCATTTTTAATTTGATCATCAACATTTTCATTCTCATACTCATTTAGACCCAAATCATTAATGTTATCATTTTCAATTGAATTTTTATCTAAATCTTGTCTCTCTCTAACAATGAATTTATCAAGCGATCCACTTTGAGTTTGGACAAATTGTTCAATTTTTCTTTTTTTCTTACGTTTATCATATCCAGATGGATACTTTCTTGGAGGCATTTCTATAATAAAATAAAAAATATTACAATCAAATTGAAAGAAGTCAAAAGATTCGGAACAATACAACCTAATTTGAAGCCTTAGATCAAGTGGAAGAGGTACTCGAGTAATCTGCAAAAGATAGTTGACCTTCCTCTTCCCACAGTCCCCCCTGTAAAATGAAAGAAATAATTTATAAGAAAAAGATTAAGAATCGCAGACTGAAAGCCATTATCAATAAGGAAAAACAGGAGAACTGTACAGAATTGCTTATGTTCGTTGCAATAGTCAAGTTAAGTAACTCTTTTGACATTATCAGTTCTCCATTTGAATTTATGCATTTATGTAATGTAAGTGTGCAATTGTTAGTGATGAGTCTACATTATCAGTTCTCCATTTGAATTTATGCATTTATGTAATGTAAGTGTGCAATTGTTAGTGATGAGTCTACCATATAAAAAATCCAAAACTGTACAGAAAGCAACTGAACATTGTTTCTCAAGCATAATGTCAAACACATGAAGGGTAGGCTGTGGTTATGATGAAGACAGCAAGTCGGCAATTCATCACTGAGGCATTTTCGCAGAAAATGTGTGGGTACTGGTTATGATGCAAAAAATTAAAAAATACCTAAGAATACCCATATCGCAGATGGAAAATTTCCTTCCATCAAAAAATTAAAAAATACCTTCAATAGAGAGAGAAGAGGGGAGGCTCGGCTCGCCAGAGGTGGTGGCCCGTGGCTGGAGAAGGGAGCTTAGGGAGGTTGCTACTTGCTAGGGATTTTGAGGATATCGGACTATCGGAGAGCCGGAGAGGGAGAGCCGAGAGGACTGAGCTCTGAGCGGTGATGGGAGGAAGAGGGAGATCGGAGAGGGAAGAGCGCCAGAGGTGGGATCGGGGTGGGAGGAGCTCCAGCCTCCAGAGTGCGACTGACGACTGTGCGAGCGAGGGAGAGATGCTGAGATAGTCAGATGCGGCGGAAGAAGGAGCGTCGCTAGGGTTTTTCACTTTTTTTGCGGAGAGCGGAGCTGCGGAGGGATAAAGAGAAGTCGGGTTTATTAAGGTGGGCCACTGGGCCTTATCCAACCCAATATAGTTAAAAAAAAATTTGGGGGCCCCCAATTTTCAGGGGCCCTGTTCCGTCGAGCTCTTGGAACTCCTCCAGAGCCGGGCCTGACAAAGATTTGATGAAAAGTAGAAAAGTATGGTCTTTCCTACGAGCTCCATCACTGGTACCTAAACAAAGAGCGAATGACAAGTTAGTCATTATAGGGCTAGAAAATGCTAAACTATATTAGTTTTAAAGTCCCCGCCACTATATCAAAACTTCGAAGTCTAAAGTTATGGTGATAATTGAGGGTTATATTTTTTATCATTTAACAAGCTCTCATAGGTTGAGAGCTCTTTTATGGGCCAAACCTGGACTCACATAGTGCATTCTTTTCTTTCTTAAATCCACATTAAATACGTTGCAAATAGGATTTGAGCCTGAGATACTTTGAAAGTCCCCGCCACTACACCAAGTTATGGTGACTTTTGTAGTTTAATACTCTGAAAATTAGGAACAAGGTAAATTTCACAAAAAACCCCTTAATTTTTGGTCTTTTCAGCAAAAACCCTTTTAAACTTTATTATAAGAGAAAATCCCTGAACTTTCAATGTTATACAAAACTGCCATAAACTTATGGAAATCTCATAAATGGTGTTAATATGAAGGGTAAACGATCTAAACTATCACTAAAGATAGAAGGGGAAGATGATAATATGTAGAAAATATATGAAGTACACGGGGCAAGATTGTCCAAAACATGTCATGGGCGAAACACATGACAGTCTAAACTAACTGTCTCTGTTGAGGTATTTTAATGAACAAGTTCATGGGGAGCGTCTGTGAAATTTACCCTTAAAAATATGTAGGAACTGTAATATCCATAAGCCCATACCTTTATTCCATCTTTACTTATCACAAAGTCATATTCACTATCAACAAGTAATGAAACCAATGTTTGTGCATTAAGCTTTGCCTCCTCTACCGCATCAAACTTTGCTAGCTTCTCTGATGAAAACGGGTACGCATCAATTCCATAGTCTTGAATGAAATACAAGACATCTGATCTTATTGTTTCCCCATTTTTTCCTGCAATGGCCAACATCAGAAAGGATCTCAACTTAAAGTATCTTACTAGAGTATCTACACTTTCATCCTGGAAAGGCAATACAAGCCGTGGGAGGTCTTCAGTGCTCTGATTGAATGATTGTTGATCTTCCTCATGGAAAATGGCTGATACAATCTCAAACATCTCTCCTTTGTCCTTCAACAATCCTTTGTCCTTCAACTTGTTGTAGATTCCCTTGAGATTATTGGTGAGTTCTTGGGATGATGGAAGATATCTTGACATAAAATAGATACCCACAAATTTTCCTTCCAGTACATCTGCTGGCACCTGAGAGATTTAGGGGGTGTTTGGTTCAATTTCTAGAAATTATAGGAAATGTTTTCCACCCAAAATATGATTTCCTTGTTTGGTTCAATTTCTAGAAATTATAGGAAATGTTTTCCACCCAAAATATGATTTCCTTGTATTTCTTAAAAAAATTATAGGAAAACACCCAAAATATGATTTCCTTGTATTTCTTAAAAAAATTATAGGAAAAGTTTTGAGAAGTTAAAAAGTATCAATTTTCTTATTTTTTTTACTTTGCTTGTTTGGTTCAAAACAAGAAAATGGCTCATAACTTTATAGAAAATGGTATGAGACAGGTTTTGTTGATTAAATAAGAAATGTGTCAGATTTCCTGTTGATTTCCTCTCATTTTGAGAGGAAATTGTTTTTTTGTAAAATTTGGTAGTTTTTGATATTTTATAGAAAATGTTTCTATAAATTTTTTGTTGAACCAAACACAACTTACAGAAATCTATAGAAAACTTTTAATTACAAAATTACCATTGTCAGATATTTTGAGAAAAGTTTTCTCAAAAAGTGTGCAACCAAACAGCCCCTTAGTTCAAATTAATATTCAAATGGCATCAAACAGGAAAAGCAGTGTTCTGTATTCTTAACAAAATGACATGCTGAATTTGAAAGTTCATTCATCTTCTTATTTGTCATGCACTATTTAGTGTAAAAATAAGAAATGAAAATTAATTGATAGGTTCATTCCAAAAAAGAAAAAAAAAAAGATAGGACTTTACAGTCTGGAGAGGACTATGATAATGGCGTGATACTGCTAAACAATATCTGATGTCATGGTGTTAATTGGATCATGTCTACTATTCTCCAGTGATTTCTTTCTTATTTAGATTCACAGACTTCAAATTAGTACTTCAATAAGAATACAAATTTAAACCTGTTTACCTTTCAATTTATGGTTTAAATATGTTTTTGCCTATGAGAAAATAAATAAACATAATCTCTATTCCACACGTAGAAAGTTCCAAGTTTTTTTTTTTGGCAAAAAGTTCTGCCTGATGGATAATAATTTCTGACTAATAGCTAAATTGTCCACAGTGCTATCAGATTATCTCTAAACATAACATTCCTTTTTTTGCTCTTTATATCTTTATATTAGATCTCCTCATGTCTACATTTATATGACTTTTGCTTTGAAGAAATGTACAAGTATTCTATGCAGATTTCTGGTGTTGGAGAACACTATATTAACTTATTCTTCTTTTCCTCTAAGAAGCCTGGAGATTAACTTGTTGACTGTCTCAGCCTATCCTTTAAAAACATATTATTTGCTTAAGACTCCTATTACTTTGAGACCATGTATAAAATGCATGTTTAAATACATCATCTTTTAATGTAATATTATCTTTTGAATATTTAATATTGTGTTAACATACACCATTAACATCAAAGAAAAATTTCAAAAACAGATTACATAGATAAAAACGCGTAGAACTTGATGTATGAAATAATATACATAGGCTATGTTCCAAAGAAATTTTCAATAATAAAGTTTAGCAGTATGGAAGATCCTCAGCCAAACCATTGTGAACTTTTTAATAAATCTAAATGCTGTTATTTGTCAAACATGAAAGAGAAATTTACTCGATGGCGTCAGTGTGTAACTACGCACAGGTTGTAACCTACAATTAAAAACTTTGTATATTAGCAAAGCTTAATTGAAAGTATCACCAGAGAGCATTATCAACACTGTTTAGTAAAGTTTCTTTAATTCCGATTCGAACCCAGGATATCTCATGTAATGAAGCCCTAGGGGTCAACTGTAAAAAAAAAAACTTAAATTTCTACAAGAAACAAATATCAAGTAGAGATTATTCAACTTTTCTCCATTATTCCCGATGAAGAAGCTCTCTTCGTTGATGATGAGCAAGGATCTTAGGACATTGGCATCCCCTGAAGTCATTTTTTGCATATCAACGAACAAAAGGGCTATTTTTATATAACTTGAAATCCCTTCATGAATAGGAAACTTGTAATTTTGATCATATTGTGATTATATTTAGATTATTTAACAAATTAAGAAAGGGGTGTCAATTGGGTTTTGCATATATGACATGCAAGTATAATCAATCTTCATTAATACTTCAATACATACCTTATAATAGCTAATGATCAATTGATCACCATGTCCTTTCTTTACATGTCCAGTATCTTCACTTTCAGAGTTACGATAAGTAACAAAACAGTCCAAGAAAATAAAAATGAGCCCATGTCATTCCAGTAATAAGCATGTGATATGACTGTGAGTCACTATTTCTCCAAAACAACCATTCATCTATTGATTTTTGCTCTTGTTGAACATTGAAAACAAGTTGAAGGATAAGCATTCATGGTGTGTGTACATATACACATGGATAGTTGTATAGAGTATTAAGAAGATCAGCTAAAAACAAGGAAAAACAATTATCCACTAAGATGGATGATGAGTTTTAAGAATTCAAGTTAACTTTTAGCTTAAAGACCATAAAGACATATTGGTGACAGAAATTCAGTACACACTGTAGATATGCATCAAAGGGAGCCTACACCAACAACGCATCAGTATCTGTTCTAGTTGGGTTATCTATGTTCAGCTGAAAAAGAAGAGGAAAAACAAGAAGAAAAAGAAGTAGCAATAGCACTAATAGTAACAGACACTGCATAATAATTCCAGAAGCTCTTTTCCTCTAACACACAGGACATTAAAATGATAGTTTCCATTCTCACAGAAAAATAACAAAGAAAATAGTTTCACAGTAAGGACATTTTCAATGTCAAAATCAATAAGGCATGGCTCAATGTCCATCTGAAATATAAATGATAAATGGTTAGCAAGATGAAGCTTCGTAACTCTATTCTACCTGATACATGTCAAATAAGTAATCTTGATATATCAAGTTCTGAACAAACAGGACGTCATTAAAAATTGACAGGAGAAAATGAAAACAGTAAACATAAGTACTGAAATGTATATGAAGCAATTTTCACAACATCCAATATAAAGAAAAATGCTAATTCAATTTTATTTTCCAGTTTTGCAGGAAGGATGGCACTATCAAGATTTGTTCATATAGTGTCAATTTTAATTATTCTTAAATAAATGCAAAACTACAACCAATGTATAAACCGAGTAAAATCAAACATGCAGCTAAAAATAAACAAAAATAGCAAGCAAACAAAAGCTTATATGTAAGAAACTCATAAGCAATATCAACTAATATCACAATAAGACCACACCAAAATAACCAAATGCAGATAAAGGCTAGCGTAATAAAATCACCAACCAGCGTGTCACCACCAGAAAGAGCAACGATGTGCTGGTCATTAAGACCCACGTGCCCAAAAACATATCGGATGTGATCATAAACATGAATTATTTAAGAAAAAAGGTTATTTCTTTTGTCAAGACTAAAAGAGGTTTCTATCAAGCAACAAAAATTACAATAATATTGAATTTGGATAATCTCCAAAAATTAGTGCTCGGTTAGTTTAGAAAACTGAAACTAAACAGATTTGACTCTTCAGATGCTTAACTAGGCAACATTAATCAAAAGATATTTTTCAGATTTTACATATGTAAACATATTATCAGTAAAAATAATGATAGTGAATTGCAAACAAAACCCCAAAGTAAATACACCCAATAAATAAATAAATAAATAAATCCATAAAAAGCTCTCACCTTGGGGGTTGTCGTCTGCACAATGGAAGCCCTCCTAAATGACAGTTTTGCCCTCCGATCCTGGAATCAGTAGGAACAAGAAATCCCCAGTCAACAACAGCAGCAAGTGAAAAGAAAGGAAAACAGGTAGAAGGAGAGTTGAGATTTGAGGAAGCTGACCATGAGAGATTCAACGAGGGGGGCCATGTCGACGAGGTTAGTGAAGAGGTCATATCGACGAGGGGGACCATGCCACCGAAAGTTAACATCCACAAATATCAATAGTAGAAACTGCAGACATAGAAAAGAATTAGATTACTCAAGGATTAATGTGACACTAGAAAGTAGACTTACATAAATATTACAACAACAACAACAAAAGAAAACAAATTATTTTAAAAATCAAGACCGGCATCTCTTCATTTCAGCTTTATCATCTGACCTCAAAGAAGAATCTCCATCATAGGAAGCCTCCATGGATTTAGAGAATGAGATTGAGAGGTAGAGGACTTACAAGTCAGGCGTCCGGCGAAAATCAGGAGTAGGAGAGGCAGCGAGGTTCGATTTGGGGAGGAAGAACTAGGGTTTTTGTGGAAGACTCGGTGGCCAACTGTAGGGTTGACGGCGGCGGGGACCTTCGATGGCAGCGCGCACCTCCGACGCAGCTGCGAGTCCTTATCAGAGTTGGGGGGGGGGAGAGAAGGCGCACGGGGATTTGGGGTTTTTGATGAGAGAGAGAGAGAACGGGGATAAATTTGGGGGTTTTCGTTGATTTTTTCGGTTTTTGGCGAAAATAAATGGGGGGGAAATTTCCCCCTCTTGCGTGTGTAGACTGAACCGACTTGCCCCAACTATTTGAACCGTTGGGGCTGGTTTCATCAGCCCCAACGGTTCTATCCATCAGTTGGGGCTGCCCCTCTTTTTACTAGTGTTTGCAAATGTTTTCAGTCTCATTTTAGTAAGCAGTCATGGTCCAACATAGAGAGGCGAGAGAGGGTCTAGTGATCTCGGTCTATTGCATTAATGCATCAGAAGGATGTAAACCCTAGGTTATCTAAGTCTACTAATCCAACAATTAACATATATTTGGTGCACAATTAATGCAATGGGTCATAACACTGGAATGTTTCTCGGAGGGCTCGATGAATCCAGATAAGATGAATTCTGCAGAAGCAATTTTTCTGAATCAGGTTTTGCAAAGGAAATGCTGCTGATGGATTTTGCTGAGCATGCCTGTGTTACATGGCAACGAATCGGTTTGAAATTGAGCTAGCACTACTATATACAGTTTCCTGTATTATTCATTTGTACACAACTTTTTGTTTTTTATAGATTTTACATGGAAATAGAAGATCAAATGGAAATATGCGGTTCAATAAAATTGAATTGAGTATGAATTTCACCCTCTTTCTTCTTTTTACTGCTTAAGTTTTTCTTGGTTTTCCATCTTG